GGGCGCCGCAGCCGGGCGGCCTCGATCGCGTCCCCCGGGAGGCAGCCCGACTCCCGAACCAGCGGAACGTTCGCGCTCGGACTGTCGCCGCCATTTCGCACTCGACGCGCGTTGGGCGCCCGGATTCATCTCAAGGGCTCGGTGCCGTCCTGGCTTTAACGACCGTTAAGATGTTTGCAGGCAATAAAAGCAGACGGGGACGCGTGGTAAGCAAGTCGTGTTTTGTAGAGAGACCTGCCAGCCTGGTCTTCGGGGTGGGGTCGCCTAGAAAGTCAGGGTGCTCTCGAGACGTTGACGCTGAGGGACAGCCCGTGGCGTGGGCACCGTGGGCGGCGCCCTCGGCTCGTTTCCCGGGGGGAGGTTGCGGCCGAGCCTTTGGCATGAGCCCCGTTTGCGTTTAAATTCAGGACGGCGTCGGCGGCGCGCTCCCGCCGTTTCTCCCTCCTGCCCGGCGGTTCTCTCCGGGACCCGCCTTCGCGGGGACCCGAGCGCTGGGCCCACCCGCGACCGCGTGCTCGGCGCAGTCGTCCCCGGAGGCCTACGGCGGAAAGCGCCGCAAGGCTCACGCCTGTCGCCTCATCTCTAAGGGACACAAACGCCCCGAGAGACACGGTGGGAATAAACCCGCGCGGGTCCCACGTCCAGAGGCCTCTTGGCTCCAGCCGGCAACGTGCCCGTGACCGCGCTCGGCCCGGGCTCGTGGCTGTGGACGGCCTCCGCGCTGCTTCGTGGGCGGCCACGCGTGTGCCCTGAATTCCGGAGGGAGCGCCCGTGGGATACGCCGCACGGCTGTGGCTCCGTGTTTCTCGGCGGGTCCCACCCAGCGCAGCAGGGGACCCGCGTGTGTCCGGAGGCCGGGGCCCGCGCACGGTCCCGGCCTTAACCACGGCCGGTGGGCCGCGGACACGCGGAGGCTGCTGGGAGTGGGCTCGGACCCGGGGCAGGATGCGTGTGGGGCAGGGGCGAGGCGGCGGGCCCTGGGCCCGGGAGACACCGGACCCGTGTTCCCCC